TTGCACCAAATTTTTTGCAGTGCACACATCTTTGGCTGGCTCCAGTAACAACTGCTCTATCAATGCAGCTGATGGTATCGTCACTGGCTAGCTCTACATCAGACGACCAGAGAGCACACATGTAGTGAACATAGCAATGGCCTGCAATACAATAAAAGTAATTTGTTATTTGACAATCAAACAAACAAAACAAAAATGACATAACAAGAAAACAGATCTTTGTAATGCAAATCATCATAACAGTAAATAATATAATTTTGATTTCTTTTCTTTTCTTTTTTCTTTTTTAATACAGCTCATACATTCTGAAAAAGCCTTCCATAAAATACTTCAGAAACATTCCAACATCATGGCCAACCCTCCCGGCAACATACCTGTAGATTCAAAAAGGATGGATATACTTGGCGGCTCCTGATGACCCACCAAGGATATCTCGTCCACTGGTTCCGGTAATGCCTCTCCACCTGCTTTCTTGGCGATTTACCCTTGTCTCTATACGAAGAAAGACAATAGGGAAAGAGTAGTAAAACCATTTATCTACAAGCCAATCTATAATAGAGTATCAGTATATATCAATGTTAAGGCGGAAAGAAAATATCTTAACACTATATATAAAGACCTTACTACGGACACTGCTCTAAAAACCTAAACCTCTTAAGCTCATATTAGGCTCATCACTTACTTGAATAATGAAATGTTGGGTTTGAACTTTTTCGACAGGGGCGAGTCCTCCTCAGGCTCCATGGGGGAAGGAATCTTCTCCGGCAGGATATATCCCGGAGTAGGGTCATGGCGAATCAGCTCACCTTGGCCCAGCTGACTCTGCTCGCTCAGGCAGCACAGGCCACACATTCCTTCCCGGCCTGGAATGCCAGTGCAAATATTGGATTATCTGACTCTTTATTAACATTTTCTTTCTTTCCATCTGTTTACATGTCCTAAAGAAAAAAAAAAAAAAAAAAAAAAAAAAAAAAAGACACATAGAAATAGGGTACATTAACATTAACCCAGAAAGCTTTCTACGACATTAGAGAAAACTAATCCCAAACTATGATATCCACTAAAAAATTCACAAGGTAAACAGACATCTAATGTGTCACAAAAGGCCCTTCTAAGGAAGCGACTTTTCTTCACAGAAGGGTCAAAGGCCCAACAACTTCCAACCCATTTGATAACTTCCTTAGTCGTAAGGAATGAATAAATGTATGTAAATAAATAAAGACAAGTCAACCGAAAAAAAAAGAAGAGAGAGAGAGAGAAAAAAAGAAAGAAAATGAAAGAGTAAGTGAAAGATGAAGAATGAGAATTAGGAAGAAGATAAAAGAGAAAGAGAAATGAAAGAGAGAGAAAAAAAGAGAGGGAGAGAATGAGAGAGAGAAAGAGAGAATGCGAGAGAGAATGAGAGAATGCGAGAGAGAGAGAGAGAAAGAGAATGAGAGAGAGAGAGAAAGAGAATAAGAGAGAGAGATATATATATATATATATATATATATATATATATATATATATATATATATATATATATAAATATATATATATAATATATATATATAAATATATATATATAATATATATATAATAATATATATATATATATATATAATATATATATATATATATATAATATATATATATATATATCATCCATACCTTGCATGGTATTGTTGCACCAAATTTTTTGCAGTGCACACATCTTTGGCTGGCTCCAGTAACAACTGCTCTATCAATGCAGCTGATGGTATCGTCACTGGCTAGCTCTACATCAGACGACCAGAGAGCACACATGTAGTGAACATAGCAATGGCCTGCAATACAATAAAAGTAATTTGTTATTTGACAATCAAACAAACAAAACAAAAATTGACATAACAAGAAAACAGATCTTTGTAATGCAAATCATCATAACAGTAAATAATATAATTTTGATTTCTTTTCTTTTCTTTTTTCTTTTTTAATATCAGCTCATACATTCCCAGAAAGCCTTCCATAAAATACTTCAGAAACATTCCAACATCATGGCCAACCCTCCCGGCAACATACCTGTAGATTCAAAAAGGATGGATATACTTGGCGGCTCCTGATGACCCACCAAGGATATCTCGTCCACTGGTTCCGGTAATGCCTCTCCAACCTGCTTTCTTGGCGATTTACCCTTGTCTCTATACGAAGAAAGACAATAGGGAAAGAGTTAGTAAAACCATTTATCTACAAGCCAATCTATAATAGAGTATCAGTATATATCAATGTAAGGCTGAAAGAAAATATCTTAACACTATATATAAAGACCTCTACCTACGACACTGCTCTAAAAACCTAAACCTCTTAAGCTCATATTAGGCTCATCACTTACTTGAATAATGAAATGTTGGGTTTGAACTTTTTCGACAGGGGCGAGTCCTCCTCAGGCTCCATGGGGGAAGGAATCTTCTCCGGCAGGATATATCCCGGAGTAGGGTCATGGCGAATCAGCTCACCTTGGCCCAGCTGACTCTGCTCGCTCAGGCAGCACAGGCCACACATCCGTCCTGGCCTGGAATGCCAGTGCAAATATTGGATTATCTGACTCTTTATTAACATTTTCTTTCATTCCATCTGTTTACATGTCCTAAAGAAAAAAAAAAAAAAAAAACATAAGATTAAAGAGTTGCTTGTCTGCATCATGTACATACCACTTATCTTGATACAAAGGAGCAATGAACATGTCATCTTGAGCATAGGCCTCATCATCCAGCGGTAAGGGAGAGTCGTCCCCTCTCTCTTCCAACGACATGCTGTGAACAAGCCGTCGGCCTCCACGTCCCCTGCTGTTGGGTCCATGACAAAAAAAATTCCAGTTAACACAAGGCAGAAGTGACATATTTTGAAATTAATTAATGCTAATTAATATACCTCATCAAAAACATTTACCTTCTAAAAATACCATAAAATATAAGGAAAAATAAACATTATAAAACTTTCTCTACACTAGCTTAAATGATTTACATGAATATATATTTTCTCATAAAAAATTATATGTGCAAGCATCTCATTAACATCCAAAAAATTACAAACCAAAGCCTGTCAACGTACATGCCAAGGCGCTTGATCTTTAGCCCCTTCCTGTTCTGAAAGCCTCCGCTCCGGGACGGGCAAAGGGGCATGCCCTTGGAGCGGCCCCGGTTCTTGGGGATGGTGACCACACCGCTCCGCCCGTTGGGGACCTGAACCGGGACCAGGGGTATTGTGGGCATCATGTCTGGGCCCACTTTGCTGCTGCTCAGTGTGGATGCAGCCTCCGAAGATGGGGTGGAAGAGGGGGCGCTGCTGGACACGGCACTTAACGTTACGGAGGTGAGGGTGGACACGGCAGATGATAATGACGATGAGAAAGGCAGGGAGGATGACGCAGACGAAGATGTAGTCGAGGACAATGACGAAACGGATGACGATGAAGATGACGACGATGATGACGATACAGGGTTTTGCGATGACTTCTGCAGAGCTGCTGTGGAGGCTTTTGTGATGGTGACTGAGGAGGTGGAAGGTAAAGAGGGCAAGGAAGGCAAGAGGAGAGGCTTGTCCACCTCCATCTTTTCCTCGACTTCACCACCTGGGTTTGTTGATGCTATGGATGTGGGACCTGCAGGAGGGAAACACAAAAAATGTAAAAATGAAACAGAGAAAAAAATAATAATAATAATTAAAAAATAAGACAAAATAATAAACATATTTACATCACGGATAAAAACAAAACAAACTATAACATCAAATATCCGACACAACCCTGATCGGCCCACACGAAACCGTACCTGAGGAAGAGCCACATGAGGGCACCGCTCCTCCACTGGTCCCTTTCTCTTGCTTGATGTCCACGGTGTCATCTTTACTATTGCCCCCATGTGGTCTCTCCATACTTTAATCTGTAAGGGAGCGAACAGCGTTAGAACGTCTTCACACAATATCTTTATGTAGAGGGAAAACTTTTTCATCAAAGCCTTGTGTAAATAAAGAGACACAAGGACAGGATAGGATGGAGGGGGAGACAGGAACAGGAGAAATGGATAGAGGAAGGGAGTGAGGGAGGAGAGAGAGGAAGGAAGGAAGGAAGGAAGGAAGGAAGGAAGGAAGAGAGGGAGAGAGAGGGAGGGAGAGGGAGAGAGAGGAAGGGAGAGGGAGAGGGAGACAGAGGAAGGGAGAAAGAGGGAAAGGGAGAGAGAGGAAGGGAGAAAGAGGGGGGAGGAGGAGGGGGAGGAGGAGAGAGAGAGAGAGGGGGGGAGGGAAAGAGGGAAGGAGGGAGGAAGGGGGGGGGAGAGAGAGAGAGAGAGAGAGAGAGAGAGAGAGAGAGAGAGAGAGAGAGAGAGAGAGAGAGAGAGAGAGAGAGAGAGAGAGAGAGAGAGAGAGAGACAGAGACAGAGACAGAGAGAGAAAGGGGAGGGGTGAACATACACCTGACCAAACTATAAACAAAACAACAAAGGAAGGGCAGGAAACATGGCATAATGACATAACTGTTTACCTATTTTCCCCTTTTCTGCTTTCTTGACAGTGGGCAAACAATTCACTAATCATCTGAGCGGAGGCCAAACCAGAAAACTATGATCAAGAACAAGCCGCCCCAAAGTATCTCCAAACAAATCAAGTTAATAAAACTAGTATTTATGGTTCCTAAGAATATAAAAGTCACCCTTAAGACTCCTAGTAATGAGTCTAGGATCTCTAACATAACAAAACCAAAAATTCCAATATGACATTCACCATCCCATACAAGTCTACTGTCTTTACATTTACAATTAATATCTGTTTTTGATTTAAATATATGAGGTATGTTTTTACTGGTCAACACTTAAATCACATAATGGTATGAAAAAAATCAAATAACACAGCAGATAGTGATGGTACTATGAAATGATAATAATCACCATAATAAAACAAACATTAAAATTTCCAAATTTCGCACAGTGAACATATATTTTTTCATAAAACTGCTAGGCATTCACACTTACTCTTTCACAATCACCGAGTCTGTCCCTACCTCTGGTTCGATCACTCACTCAATCTTTCTCATTCAGTCAGTTTTTCTCTCACCTTCATCATCCTCTCCCCTTCCCCCCCCTCTCACCTTCCTCCTCTCCCCTTCCCCCCCCCTCTCACCTTCCTCCTCTCCCCTTCCCCCCCCTCTCACCTTCCTCCTCTCCCCTTCCCCCCCCTCTCACCTTCCTCCTCTCCCCTTCCCCCCCTCTCTCACCTTCCTCCTCTCCCCTTGCCCCCCTCTCTCACCTTCCTCCTCTCCCCTTCCCCCCCTCTCTCCCCTTCCTCCTCTCCCCCCCCCCCTCTCTCTCACATTCCTCCTCTCCCCTTCTCCCCCCCTCACCATCTTCCCTCTCCCTCTGTCTGCTGATGGCATGCCAACACCACAGGCTAATTATTTACCTCAAGCAGATATCTGCAGGTACAGAAATATCACATAAGCACTTTATTGCTACCAGCCTGCTTATTCAGTAGAAAATACTGTTACAATAATACCCTACAGGTGAAAGCCAGGAACGTGTGTTAGCAATGAGTTTACCTTAGTATATTCCAATCTTTGCTTTGCATATCAAGACATGTTCCACATATGTATAATTATAAGCTATTCTATGCTATTACCCTCATTGAAAAACCCAAAGTGCACCAAAACTGAAGTACTACAGCATGTGTAAGTGGCAAAAATACATGAACTCTCCTCTTTCTTTCTCTCTTTCTCTCTCTCTCTCTCTCTCTCTCTCTCTCTCTCTCTCTCTCTCTCTCTCTCTCTCTCTCTCTCTCTCTCTCTCTCTCTCTCTCTCTCTCAAAACATTTGCAAACGCCTATAAAATAGTTTTAGTTCTCTACCTTTTCTTTAAACTTTTCCTTTTGAATATTCTGTCCAGCTGTGACTAAGAACTTTACAGATGGAATTTTAAAAATAGGGTACTGATCGTTACTTAGAAAGTTCATTGATAACAAGCTAAACTATACGTTCATAGTTATAATAACTACAATGGGTAATTACTATATTTATGGAAAAAAACAATAATAATAAAGTAAATAACAACAACAATAAGAAGAAAAATTATAATTAAAGTGACTATAAACTATCACAATCAAGTATCTGTAGTAATATACATAATAAACAATAATAAAAATAAAATAACATAACAGCAGCACCAACAATGATGATGATGATGATGATGATGATGATGATGATGATGATGATGATGATGATGATGATGATGATGATGATGATGATGATGATGATGATGATGATGATGATGATAATGATATAATAATAATAATAATAAAAAAATAAAAATAAATAATAATAATAATAATAATAATAATAATAATAATAGATAAAAATAATAAAAATAATAAAAACAACAACAACAACAAAATAACAACAATAATAATAATAATAATAATACTAACAACAATTACAATAATAATAACAATAACAACAATAACAACAACAATAATAATAACACAATAATAACAAAATTAACAATAATAATAATGATTACTATTATTGTTATTATTATTACTATTATCATTATTACTCTTACTATTATCATTACTATTACTATTATTATTATCATAATACAATAACAATAACAACATTAATAATAATAACTATATTAACAATAATAATATTAATAATAATAATAATAATAATAATAATAATATTGATGATGATGATAATAATAATTACAATAACAGCAATCAAAAAAACAACAATAATAAAGAAAACAATCATAATATTAAAAATAATAATAATAATAATAATGATAATAATAATGATAATAATAATGATGATAATAATAATAATAATAATAATAATAATAATCAATAAAAATAATAATAAAATAGTAATAAAAATAATAATAAAAATAATAACAATAACAATAACAATAATAATAATAATAATAATAATAATAATAATAATAATAATGATGATGTTAATACTACTACTACTACTAATTATAATAATAATAGTTACAAAATAAGAATAAAATTTTGTTTCTAACATAAGCATTTTTTCCAATCTCGTGTCTCAAAAGAAATGGGAAAACACATCTCCATGTCCTCAGTGCTAAAGTGCCAGTGGCTTGTTGACCCCCCCCCCCCCCATAGGTTTATACTCCTTAGACCACAGCTCAGAAAACTTACAAGAATGTGTTTTTGAACTGTAAATTTTCATCCAAATTTACAATATTCCTTTTTGGGTCTTGTTCAACGAAATGGGTAAGTCTTTGTTTTCATGTCCTGGACAACAGGAATTGCATTCTGAATAGGAATGATATGAAATTAAACATACAATTAGTATAACATATGACAATAATGTCAAAGATGATGAAAATAAACAATGACAATGACAATAACAATGACAATGTCAATGATAATGATATCAATTACCCCTGGTAATATTAATAATAATAATAAAATATATAAATCAATAATAATAATAATAATAATAATAAAATATATAAATTAATGATAATGATAATGATAATAATAATAATAATAATAATAATAATAATAATAATAATAATAATAATAATACAATAACAATAATAACAATAACAGTAACAATAATGAGGATAATGATAATAATAACAAAAGGAACAATACCAACAAAAACAAAAACCACAAAAAATAAAACAAAACAATAAACAAAACATACCAATAACAATAATACTAACAACAATAGGAATAATAATAACCGCAACATTTATAATAATACAGTAATTATAGTAATATTACTACTACTACTACTAATGATATTATTACTACTACTACTACTACTAAAAATAATAATAATAATAATAATAATAATAATAATAATAATAATAATAATAATAATAATGAAAATAAATTATAAAAAAAAATAATGATAATGGTAACAATAAAAAAAAACAAAATAATAACAATATCAAAATAACTATAAAAAATGAAAAATAAAAATAATAAAACATCATAATAACAACTAAATAATAATGATAATAATAATAATAACAAGAATAAATACAAGTAATAACAAAATCATAAGAATTAATATTAGTATTATCAATATTACTGTTACTAGTAATACTCAATGTTAATACTGATACTGATATTAATATCAATATCAATAGTAATGTTAATACAAATACTAATAACATTAATAATACCAATAAGAATATTAATAGTAGGCTAGCAATAAAGGTAATACTACTACTACTACTACTACTACTATTATCACTACTTCCATTGCTACTACTACCACTGCAACTAGACCATTACTACTGCTACTACTACTACTGCTACTATTAATAATAATGTACTAATAATAATGAAAATGACAATAATATTGATGATGATGATGACAATAATAATAACAAAAACAACAACAATAATAATACACTAACAATACTACTACTATAAAAAAGTAAAAATAATAACAATAATAATAATAATAATAATAATAATAATAATAATAATAATAATAATAACTAGAAAAGCACTCAGAGAGTGCAGACCTCCCCCAAGGTGCGCATATAATATATATACTTTGGCTGCGTCCAGACGGTAATTCGGAATGTCACCAAAATTTAATCAGTTCTAAGTTAGTCCCTTTCTGACTTGTCCCCAAAATTTCGATGAAATCCGGCCAGCACTTTTTGAGCTACGCTACCAACAAACCAACTCCGTCAAAAACATAACCTGCTTGGCGGAAGTAATAATAATCATGATAATAATAATAACAATAACAATAACAATAACAATAACAATAACAATAATAATAATAATAATAACTATATCAAAATGATGATGAACAATAATAAGAAAGATAATAATAATAATAACAGTAATAAGTAGTAATAGTAGTAATGATAACAATAATAATAATAACAACAATATTGAGAGGTATTCTCAGCAGTGATTGATTATAATCACAAATGATGGCTGTTATTCATAAATGTAACAGGTCTTCCTCTCTTTTCATCTTTCTTTCTATAGCAGACCAGTTACCTTTGTTTTATAATATTAAAATAATGATAATAATAATAATAATAATATTCCCAAAAATAACCTCAGAGAAAGAGATGCCATACAATAAATGGAAATTTGCTCTGAATATGATAATCTGGTAATGCAAAAATACTAAAGCAAGACATTAGACGGACCATGTGCCGGTGAGCATCTACAATGCGAAATAGGACATCACTGGAATTTCCCATAATTGAGTAAGTCTAGATACTTTAGTGCACTTTCACTGATTAATTTAACACTTGTTTTCCCAAGTATGGAAACAGAATACACTTCCAAGAAATATCTATGAAAGCATGCAGAATACTCAAGAGAAACATGATACAAGAGATTGGATGCTTTGTACCATGGGCATACATACACCGAATAACTGTACACAATACTGTATCAGATTACAAATTTGAAATTGAAACACCAATCTACTACTGAAGGTACACACAAATACTAGCTTTACCCAACATACTGTACACCCCAGTTCTGTTCTAATCCACAAGCCAGGTCTTGATAAAAAGTTAAGTCTGATGTTTATTGTTATGACATGTAAAACTCTACATATTTATTCATGCATGCATAAATGGTATAATCCAGCATGAACATTCATGAGATTTACTTGAATAATGTAAGTTTCTTAAGCAGCAACTATGTATGAAAATAGACCTGTCTTATAATATACACAATACCAGTTTATCATCTTTTTGCACTTAGTGCAAAACACGAATAAGAACACAAACAAAAATACACACAAAACTTTTCTATAATCCAACAGTTAACTTCTAAACCTGTATATATCTGAGGATCCCAAGTTAACTCTCACATGACATCAACAATAATCCGACTTCTTCCACTATTCCTAAACTCATGTAAGACCGAGTATAGCATTCAAATGAATCAGATATAAAGAACTAACTTTCGGCTTTCACAAATAATTCAAAAAGTCAAATTCTGATTTGTAATATTACCCCAAGGCTCAATGGGCTGCACACAACACAGCATCATAAAAAAAGGAAAATAATGGATATACAAATAACAAATCAGCAATGCACCTGTTACCGACAGGTAAATCATCTGATTAACTCAGCACATTTCCAAACTCCCTAAAAATAACCGCACATTCACACTCACTCCCCCCCACATACAGATCAAAGGTTTTGTGGTATAAGGTATTCACATGTGTTTTCAAACTATACAAGACAAGACACAAAGTACTGATATGTAATACTTTAAAGTACTATATCATATGGTTCTTCATCTATTGATGATGATTGCACTAGGTAATGAACCTCACTTTAATATTTCCCTTATTTGATTGACATCAATATAATGAAAGAGAAATATTAAAGAAAAATATCAATCATGTTAATTTTTAATTAAAAAGAAATGAAAAGAGAAGCATGAGAATACTTAAAATACTAAATAACAAATCAATTCTACTAATTCTAAATATCTAACCCACAAACACTCAAAAAAATTACTTCATTATGGAATAAACCTGTTACCCATAAAGTGCATAAAAACACACAGCTCTTACTATCAGAAGTAGAAACTCAATACCACAACCTATTCTGAACCTATTTTGAGTGCAGGCTATAAATACTGGACCCCAAGAGCAGGTACTACAAACACCACTAACATAACTATGGATACACTCACTACTGCTATGAATTTATTGCTTCTGCTATCAGTTTTTCTACTATCAACTACATAGGGGCAACAAGGAAACACAATTTACAGGCAACAAATAACGCCCAAAACATTTCTGCATCAAAAAACTACAAATTAGAATGATAGATATCAAAGCTTTTTAACAACTCTTTTCTATATTATTTCTCTCTATAGGATAGAAGGCTAAATGTCCTACAGGAAATCTACTCAGCTTAAAAAAATATAACTGTGATAAATACCTATTTTTCTAATGGTTTCTGATCTCCTGCTATGCATTTTCTGTAATGCCATTGATATTCTATGTTCTTTCACCTAATTTCCAGTTTGCAAAGTCTCCCCACATTGCTATTTCTGCAAAGACATCAACACCTTAAGTAAATCTGATGAAATGAATTACTGAGGAACATCCAAAGTAAAGTACAAACAGGTAAACACTCCAAGATCAAAACAACTGAAACCTACAACTAACCAGTGCTATTTCTTCCCCTCTGCACCAAACATCACAATATGTATAAATGAAAACTTCCTCTCAGTTACTTTATTATAATTATAATTATAATTATAATTATAATTATAATTATAATAATAATAATAATAAAAAAAAAAAAAAAAAAATCAGCAGAAATGCTTCTACACTCAGGAGATATGTGTATGGACTGCATGGCCACATGTCCAGTCTATCACATCTTTCAAGCCACTTCACACATGAACCATAAACAGAACTATAATTTAGCTTATGGAGAACTTAGGCAGCAACATAATGAGAAAAGCCATAGAAAATAGAAGTACTGTGTATTAGTTACTTTACTAATGTATCCACCTGCCTTTTTCCTATCACCTCTCAATACCATATCTTGGTCCAAACCCTGTTGTAGCAAATTCAACATCATAGGAAACTATAACAAACGATATTTTAAAAAGTATGAGTATAGTGACTGTACACAATGTTATCACAGCAAGTACTTTCCTTTGTGTGTGAAATATAATGTTCATAACATTTAAATGTGACCATTCTAAAAGACCTTCTACTGTGATATTACACAGAAGTAAAATATATTGTTTAGTAAGCCCAAACACCTGATTGTGAGAAGACTGGACTGGCAGTTAGTATGTACACTCATTCTCAGCCACTTCAAACAGTCGTGAGGTGCACCAAAAACCAAGATTTTGGCACAGGTGGTTCTGCTATCACTTATACTATTTGTGTATCTCTTGTTTTTTAAATATTTGACATAATTTCATGTTAATTATCTCTCAGAGTTACATTCCCTACCCTACACACCGATTGCACTACACCGCCTAGCACTCCAGCAAAGGCCAAGAAATCTGCCCATGTGTAATTTGACCAAAACAAGAGTAAGTAAACCTCACAGGCACTTCATCACCAAATATGGACTGTACATGGTCAAATTTGCCGATCTTTGCCAGTATGTGAAGTGCAGGGGTTGTGGCAGCCATTTCACACAGCGGCAACATTAGACTAGACTAGAGCCTATAGGCCTTTCATCCAAGAAACCCGTAAGAATTCAAGTAGATTTGGCTAAAATGCAACACTATACACACAAGAAAAGACTGTGTATTGAAAGCCAGCGTGATCAAACAGCAGCATAAACACCTGTCACGCATAATAACCTTACCTTACTTTCACATGGTCTTCCAAACCGAGTCAATTATGCAGTACACAAAAGAAGAAAATCCAGGGCCTACATGCACAAGATAACCCACAGCACATAGGTCTCGAGACACAAGAAACAAAAAAAAAAAACACAGCTAATGTATAGCAATAAAGACGATAATAATACTAATAATAACAG